CATCTGCTTTCGCAGATTCGACGATAAAAGGTATTTTGGGCTAAACCAATTCTGTAGTCTATTCCCTACTCGACGAGGTACCGGCACCAGCTGGCGCAGAGGTCGGGGCGGCCAGGCCCTTCGCAGCTGGCGCAGACGGCGGCGGGGAGCTCGGCGGCGATGCCGACGCCTGCGGTGGCGCCGCCTGTAAAGGCTGCGGGCGGGCGGGGACCTCAGCGGGGGAAACGACAGGGGGAGGGACCAGTCCAGGCTCATGCTCGTTCGTCTCGGCGGCGAGCGAGGGGGGGGGGGGGGGAAGTTTCCGGACGACGTGTTCCTCGGTTCTCGACGGTTTCCTGGCCTCGGGATGCGTCCCAGCGGCTGCGCCACGCCGAGAGCGTTCCAGGGGTGCCCAGATCGTCCCGAACGGCCGCCCGAGACCCGAATTATGACCCAAAGACCAGATTCGACCCCCAATCGCCCGTGCATCTATTGCCGATCTGTCGGTGATGCATAGCCGATTCTTGGCCATTGTCACCCCCCTGAGCCAGTTCCCCTTATCTTCCCCCCTCACCTCAGCTGCCGCAGTGGGCCGCAGACTGCAAGGAGTGCATGCTGTGCAGGGCGGCGTTCACCGTGTTCCTCCGGAGGCATCACTGCCGCCGCTGCGGAAGGTGCGTCTGCGGCAACTGTGCACCAAGGAGGGAGTCCAGGCCCATTCTGGAGTGGGGCCTGGCGGATCCGGTGCGGCACTGCAAAGGGTGTTTGTGCCTGGCCATGCCAAGGCAGCTGCAAAGGTAGCTGCTCTAGGATACTACAATGACCGCTCCAGCCTGGCCACATGGGGAAAGTTGGCTATCTCCGACCACTTGCGAATCCTGCCCCTGCGGGTCCAATCGACGCTGGGGTATCGAACAATGCGTTCGCTTGGCCGCAGACATCCTTGAACCTCTCGGCCCCCGCTGGTGCTTCAAGCATCTGACCTGCAGGGGCAGGTTTCACGTATGGTTGCCCATGGCTAGCCAGCAAGCCCTCATCCTGCCAGCGCCGCTCACTCTTCTACTTGGTGTGCCCCTCGTGGCAGTTTCGTGATGCGCAGTCGTGCCCTGGAGGGGCCTTCGTCGACTATGCCATGCGCAGCTGCTCGACACAATGGCCTTGTTTCCGTCCTTGCTCCCTTTTTGCTACTCTGCAGTACCGCCGCCAATCTGATGTGTGTCACCGCTTCGCATTTTCCATTTAGACTCCCACCTCATCGCTACAGCGCGCTTTGACAGAATCTGCGCCAGGCACCGCCTTTCTTTCCGAATCTTCGAGCCAGTCTGGGCGCATCGGGCATCATGCCCCCCTTGGCCCGCTCCTGGGGCACTTGGACAGAACGTTGATAAAAAACTTGGGGATGATGTCTTCCGTGAGATCCAGGTCAGACCCCGTTCCGTCTTGCCGCCGCTGCCCCTGCTCCTTCCCCCCCCTTTCGCCTGCTCCTGCTGCTCCTCCTCCAATCCCCCCATGCTGCGAGGCGCGCCCGCCCCAGCCCTGCCCGCTGCTGCCTTGCCGCCGCCGCGCAGTGACTCGGACTCTACTCTTCTCGTCTCGTGTTCTTGGCTGCCCTTCTTTCTTCGGTCGGTGCTACTCCTCCTCCAGTCCCCCCCTCCCCCTTCTCCCCTCTCCCCTTGCTCCAGTTCCTGCTGCAGCTTCTCATCCCCCACTCTGTCGTCCATTCCCTGATACGGAGGTTACGGGGCGGTGGTCGCCTTTGTCAATTTGCATTGGATCCATACCAGCTGGTTACTTGCTCTTCCTGCCAGGCTGATCTGCCCACTGTACGTTCGCAACATGCATAAACTCGCATATGTGATCAAGCGCATGCGTATACACATACAATCCCGCCGCCATGCCTGAGTGTGAGATGCCGGTCCCGGAGGGCCTTAAGAAGGCCCCCCCAACGGCCCCATCATATACCCAGAAACGGCATAGATTTGTCCTGTGGTGTGGGCCCAAGATTGGCTCACACCCCAAGCTCTGATATGTTCCGTTTTCATTGTTTTGGATCCACTGGCTTCGCATGGCATGCGAAGTTGATGCGTACATTTGTTGTGTATGTTTTTATGCCGCATGGAGATCGCTAGGGCACATTTCACATGTGATGTTCTGCTGCAAAATAAAATATGATACATGGATGTATGTCGTGGTATTCGCATGCACGCTGCACGAGCGTATTGATACGCCTGTTCGCAATCGTTTTATCCGCGCATGGGCCTGAGGATCGCCGCGCCATGCTTCGTGAGCAAAAGTCATGCGACCTCATCGACACGTCGAAATCATGTTGTTGCCAGCGCGTGAGGCGGCGGTTCTGCTGCAGCAGCTTATGGGAATAGATCGACTGTTTGAAGGGAATCCTCTCCACAACAGTTCTTCTTTCTCCCCCTCGTCATCTCCATCCTGCCCCTCCATCGCCCCTTCTTCTCCCTCCCCCCTCCGCCTCCAAGTGCAGTGGCATCCGAGCTTTGCCGGCAGGGCACCCGCCGCGGCCATGGTGATGGGGAAGCTTGGCAGGAGCCGCGACGGGGACGAAAACAGAGCCTCGCTTCCTGGCCTCCAGGAGGAAGGGACTAGAGGCGAGCCCATCGCATTCTGTTTGAAAGGAGGGATGCCGACGTTCTGCATCCTTCCTGCTGGGTGGTCCCTGCTGGGGGGCTCTCTTCGCCACGGCCATTGAAAATACGGCCTCGAGAGCCTGGGCCTGGCGTCGTGAAGGAGAGGCGCGACGGACTTTATCGCCCGGGTTTCGGCCCCAGGATCCTCACGGACAGTTCTGGCTCGAACGTGCCGCGGAGAGGTGGGGTCGAGGGTTGTGGTCGTGTGGTGTCCTGCGACGATGTTTTCTGTTGCTTCACGACGAAGCACTTCGGGGATAACCAGTATAACATTACATTATCGGAACAGCCGTGTTTTAGAGCTTGGGGCATGTATTGTGTTTTCGATGTCGGTCGTTGCCCCTGGTCTTTCGCCCTGCCTGGAGTCTCGCGGATGTCAGGGCTGTCAGGGCTCCGACATGCCTCCCGAGCTCCTTGGACCGCAGCCCAAGCCCCCCCTGCCCCCCGACTCCCCTCCTGCCCTCCAGGCCCCCTCCATGCCCCCCGAGCCTTTCATTTTAGTTATCGTTTGTGGCTTGTCGTCTTCCCGCGTTCTCCCTTCTCCCTCTCTCCTCCTGTAGCCCCCTGGCCATTCCCCCTGAGCCTTTTGTTTGCTCACAGCCAGGGCCTGGAACCTCGCGGGTGTTAGAGCTCCCCCCTTGCCCCCCTTTCTTCTTTTTAATAACACCGCACTATGGTGTTTTAGATTCCGACTGCTCGGAGCTTTTCATGTTCGTTGTCGGTCGTTTGTCGCCCCCCAGCCCTTTACCCCCGCCTCTTCATAATTGCCCCAAGAGAGCAGCAGGACAGCACCCAATAATCCCCTCCTCAACCTGCCTGTCCTGGCCCTCACCCCCCCTCGTGCAAGAGCCAGGGCGTGCGTACCACTTGGTAATCGGACCTTTCCCAACGATCCTACTGTCGCTTCACAGCAGGAGGAGGACGGGTTTCCCGCCTCGGGAGGATTATGAGGGCATATTTGAAGAGGATGAGGAGGATGAGGAGGAGGAGGAGCTGGCGTAATTAGAAGGAGAAGCGATATTAATGTTCGTTGTTGATCGGTTACTCTGCCCCCTGGAGGGTGCGCAAAATATGTTGTTCACTCCGAGCGGCAAACGATCCAGATCTTCGTCACGAACAGATCGGGATCTTCGTCCCAGGCCGTGCCACTGTCATGTATGTGCCACACGAGGACTTCGTGTGGCATACACATCACAGGGACACGGCCTGGGTGGGAAACAATACGGGCTGGCATTCTTTGGGTGACACACCCGAGTGGCGGATTGTCTCGGCGTCGCACGCTCGATAGCACCATCTGGCCAGCACGTGAAAGAGGTAGTGCCAACTCTTGGGTGGCACCACGGGGTGGCCCACAACAGCTGCACGGGAAGAGGTGTCCCTTGTTTGACGGCCCATGTTGCATGTGACCTTCTCCACACAGTTACCATCTTTGGGTGCGTCCAACGAGCAGGGTAGGTCATATTCTTCATGAGTGCGTAGTCGAGTGCCCTTACGAGTAACCATTTCTTTTATTGCGAAGGCCTTACGGCCAGTGCCGCCGACCCTGAAGGACCACGACGACGACGACGACGACGACGACGACGACGGCAAACGACGGCGGCGACGACGACGACGACGACGACGACGACGCTGACGTGGGTCAGAGTCCTCAGGGATTCTGTTTGGGACCTCTTCGGAGCGCTCTCGGAGGCCTCTGGGGAGCAGTTTGGGGGTTCCCTTGGGAGCATCTTGGAGGCCTCTTGGGAGCCTCTTGGGAGCCTCTTGGGGCTTCCTGGGGGCCTCTTGGGGGCCTCTTGAAGCCTCTTGGGGGCCTCTTGGGGCCTCCTTGGAGCCTCTCGGGGCGGAGGGCTCAAAGTGTCCGTTTGGTTCCCCTGTGTGGGCACGGAGCCTTCTTGGGGGCCTCTTGAGCCGTATTGCAGGCGTCTTGGGCCGTCTTCGGGCCCTCTTTGGACCGTTTCGGGGCTCTGGGAGGCCTTTTGGGGCGATCGTTGGAGCCTCTTGGGCCGTCTTGGAGCGTCGGAAAGCTGGAAAGGCGAGAACGCCCATGTCCTTGAACAATTCTAGACGCTTCGCGTATCCCCACCAGCCCGTCCAGAAACGACGCCCAGGCGAGTAGAGGGTCGTCCTGAGGGGCTTTTCGGCGTCTTGGGTGCCTCGGGGGGGCCTCTGTGGGCCGTTCGGGATCCTCTTTGGGGCCTCCTGGGGGCCTCTTGGGGCCTCTTGGGGCCATCTTGGGGCCTTTGGGGGCCTCCTGGGCGCTTCTTGGGGCCATCTTTGCCCCTTGGGTGCCTCTGGGGGGTCTCTTGGGGCCTCTTGGGGGTCTCTTGGGGGCCTCCTGGGGGCCTCTTGGGGGGCCTCTTGGGGCCATCTTGGGGCCATCCTGCTGCCTCTTGGGGCATCCTGGGGGCCTCTTGCGGCCATCGTGGAGGAAATCGATCAAAGAAGAGGGGAGCTCTAATTAGCGCTGCCCCCTCAGAAAGCCAACATGGGGCCAAAACCATAGTAAAATCAATGATTTTGGCTTCCCCGCCGAGGCCGTTTTGGACGCTCTGACCGCTCCCCGCCACTCCTGTCCAGGTCAGTGGGGAGGGGGTAGGGGGAGGGGTAAACCCCTCCCCGAAGGGGAAGAGGGAGGGGTGGAAGAGGAAACGCCCTAAACCACCGACGCCCAGAGGGCTGGTGGGGTTTTAGGAAAATGAAAGAATGTTGCCTCTTTGGGCTCTCTTGGGAGTGCTCTTCGAGGCCTCTTGGGACGTCTTCACCCCTCTTGGGCCGACTGGAGGCCGTAAAGATATCTTGGACCGATCGTTCGGCGAGTCGGGGTCCTCTTGGACCGTCTTGGGGGCCTCTTGGGGCACTCTTGGCTCGTCTTGGGACGTTGTTGGGCCCCGGCCCCCCCCCCCAGTGGGGGGTGGTATTCTGACCCAGGCCCCCCCCTCCCCTGGGCCCCCGGGACCCCCCTCCCCCCCGGCGGGGAAGGGATCGAAGGGAAGAGGCTTCTCTTCGACCCAACCACGACGTTGCTGAATTTCGCTGTGGCTGAGTGGCTCGAGGAGAAGGGCGAGATGAAAGAGGGGGAGAGGCGACGGGCGCAGGGAGAGGGGAGGGGCGGCGGCGACGAGGACGACGAGGACGAACGGCGACGACGACGACGACCACCACGACCACGACCACGACCACGACGACGAATCAAACAGAACAGCGCATTCCACACGCCATGGTTGGCGGACAAGTGCGTAGTAGAGCGCCCGTGAAAGTAACCACTTCTTTTGTATTCGGCACAGGAAATTGCTTGGCCGATCTACAACTTGATACGTTCCTCTGGCTGCTTTCTAGATTTCCGATGTTTGGGAGCGCAGCGCAGTTTTAGGATGCTCATTGTTGCTGTCGGCGTGTTCTCATATTGCGAAGGCCTTACGGACGGTGCCGCCGACCCTGAATGGCGACGACGACGACGACGACGACGACGACGACGAGCGCTCTTGGGGGCCTCTTGGGGGTAGTTTGTGGGCCTCTTGGGAAGCTCTCAGGGGCCGCTTGGAAGCCTCGAGGGGGCCTCTTGGGGCGTCCTGGGGGTCTCTTGGAGGGGGCCTGGGACGTCTTGGAGGCTTCTTGGACGGTCTTGGGGCTGTCGTGGGCGTTTTCGGCCGATCTTCGGGCGACTCGGGGCCCTCTTGGGCCGTCTCGGGGGCCATCTTGGGCATTCGGACCTCATTTGGAGTGTTTTCGAGGTTTCTAGGCCGCCCGAGGGAAAACGAATCTGCCCCCCCACCCCCCCCGGGACACCCCCCGGCCCGGGACCCCCCCCGGGACCCCCCCGGACCCCCCCCCCTGGGGAAGGGATCGAAGGGAAGGGGCTTCCCTTCGACTCGATTACGACACTGCTAGATTTTTCTCTCGCTCACGAGCTTGAGAAGGAAGCTGCAGGGAAAGGGGACGACGGAGGCGACGACCGACGGAGACGACGACTCGAACAGCCAAGCCCCTCGCACACGCCGACAGGGTCTGCGGATTCCTGGTATCTTCTGGTGGAGTCTACATCTAGTGTGACGTTCGGCCCACCCCGCCGCCGTGCATGGCTAGTGGATAAGAAGCCTCTGCGAATCCTCTTGGAGGCTCTTGGGAAGCCAATGTACGTGTGGCATCATGGTGCCTCTTGGGGGCCTCTTGGAGGTCTCTTGGGGTCTTCTGAGAGCATCTTGGAGGTCTCTTGGGGGCATCTTGGGAGCCTCCTGGGGGCCCGCTGGCGGACTCGGGGGCCATCTTGGAATTATGGACTCGAAGTACCAGTTCGTAGTCTCTCTCTTGGGGCCGCTTTGAGTGCCTCGTGGGCCGCACTCTTGGGGGCTTCAGAGGGGGCCCTGGGGTGATCTTGGGGATCACGCTCTTCAGACCGAAGAGGCGAGTATTACGTACCAGAGCAGTACAACAATCACATGCGTTTTAATGATGCTGGCCTCACGGGCCGTCCCCAGGGCCTCTAAAGTGGTTGGCCCTATCAGATCGGACTCCGATTTCCCGGCGATCCAATGCGGCGCGATGTTTGCATGGCGTTGCTGTGTATCCTAATTATCGCGGCCGATCCGATTGGATTTCGCCTCCGCGCCCATGCGGCCCGAAGGCACACTGCGATCCGATCCGATCTCCCGACTTGGTGCTGACCGATCTTGCCTCGCCAGGAGACTTCAGAGGCAGCGGAAGGATGGGGCTGGTCCAGTGGGGGGATGCATCGACCTCCGATCGGCCATTCATCGCCAATCGGGGCAAGAGCCTCCTTTCTTGCTCAAGAGCTTCCGTTTTCGCTATCGAGCCCCCTTGCATCGCTGATTATAACTCAATCTACCTCTCCCCTGAGCCAGCCCCCCTATCCCAGATATCTGACCACATGTTTTTTGTCAATCCGCGGCCCCAGAAGGTCCAGAATCCCCGACCCCTGCCTTTCCCCAGGGGCAGTTCTTGCCGCCCCGGAGCAGTGCTTGACGCCCCGAGGGGGCCCGATGACGGGCCCCACAGACCGCAGTCGAGGAAGAACGCTTGGGCCGACAGATTCATTCCCGCAGATATTTGCGATCGTCGGATGGGGCCAGGACGAGGATAAATCCGTTCCAGAGCGCTGTGGGGCGCTGTCAGGGAGTTCTGGACCGCTCTGGGAAGGCCCGATGCGCCCGAGACATCCTCCAGAGCCGCCGGATCTCAGAGATTTTCGATGTATCCTCACCCGCGTTTAGCCTCGTCCTGGCTTCGTCTGAGATCGTTTCCCCTCGCCGCTCCTCGGGCGGGTGGCAATTGGGGGGGGACCAGACAAGAATCCCAAAAGGGCCCTCGAGGGCACCTCTTGGAGCCAGCAGGGGCCCCACTGGGCCCCTCAAGGGCGCCTTCAGGGACCTTTTCTTCCCCCCCTCATTGAAGTCCCCCGTCACTGCCAACCGCCCGAGCTCCGCCCGCCGCGAAGACCTCCCCGCCGCGCGGCCCAGGAGGATGTTCTGCCTCGAGGAAGGGTTTTTCCGGGCGCCGCGCGCCGCCCCGCCCCGCACGCCCCGCGCCTGGCGGAGGCTACCGGCCGGGCGCGGTTGCGTCGTCGTCGTCGTCGTCGTCGTCCATCAAGTGTGGGCCTCGATGCCTCCGCCGTCTCGACCAGCAGCAAGACTCGAGCCTGTGTGGAGGGGAGCAAGCAGTGGCATAAACATAAAGACTCGACGGTCCGTGTGGATTCTCGAATCGGCGTTGGACGCCACTCCCTGACGCGCGGAGCGCGCCAGGGGCGGGGCTGGAGGCGCCGCCGGGGGGCTCCAGTGCTGATCCCGACGCCGGGGAGCCGAATTGTTGATATAGATCTGTATATATATATATACACACAAATATTTACACATACATACTTGCATGAATGCATGCATGCATGCATGCATGCATACATCCATACATACATACATACATACATACATACGTGCATACACCTACCTACCTACCTACCGACCGACCGACCGACCTACCAATCTACCTACCTACATACCTACCTACATACATACATACATACATACATACGTACGTACGTACATACATACATACACACCTGCATACACACACACACGTACATCCACACACATCCATCCATCCATCCATCCATCCATACATTCATACCTACATGCATACATACATGAATAGCCACGTACGCACGCACGCACGCACGCGCGTACATACATACATACATACATACATATGTATATATATACACATGCATACATACATACATACATACATACATACAAACATACATACATACATACATACATACACATACATAAACACATACATACATACATACATACAGGCATACGTATATGCATCCATACATGCATACATCCATCCATACATACATACGTGCATACACCTACCTACCTACCTACCCACCGACCGACCGACCGACCGACCTACCTACCTACCTACCTACATACATACGTACATACATACATACACACCTGCATACACACACACACACACACGTACATCCACACACATACATCCATCCATCCATCCATCCATCCATACATACATACATACATGCATAGCCACGTGCGCACGCACGCACGCACGTACATACATACATACATATGTATCTGTATATACACATATTTACATACATGCATACATGCATGCATACATACATACATACATACATACACACATACACACACATACATACATACATACATACATACGTGCACACATACATTCATACATACATACACATACATACAAACATACATATATACACACGCATACATACATACATACATACATACATACATACATACATACACACATACACACATACATACAGGCATACGTATATGCATCCATACATGCATGCATACATACATATATACCATACATACGTAGGTACGTACATATTTACTTAACTACATCCATGCATACATACATGCATGCATGCATGCATGCGTACATACATACAGACATACATACATGCATACATACACATACATACCTACACACATATACACATACACTCGTACACACGTACGTACGTGCATACATGCACACATACATGCATGCACACTGTCATACACACATATTTACATTCATACATACATGCATACATGCATACACACATGCATGCACACATGCATACATATATACATCCAAACATATATACATATATACAAACATACATACATACATACATACATACATGCATGCATATATGTATATACATATATATATAGATATGGTTGCGTTGGCGCCGTGCGGACCTCCCCACCGGGGCCTTCGGAGGAGCTCCCTCTGGGGCCACGAAGCGTGTGAGGAGTGTGCCGAAATGACGACGAGCAGGGAGGAGGGGGCAGGAGGGAGGGAGGAAGGGGGATGAGGAAGGAGGAGGAAGGAGACGCGGGGCGCTGTCTCTTTACAGTGAGGACCCATCACCACAGGACGGCTGGGAACAAGTCTGAGCGACACAGTGTTTACGGGGAATGGGTCGGGAGTTTTGGAGCCGCGGATGTCTGGGGATGGCTACTCGTCCTCCGCATCAGGCGCAGTGTCCTGTGTCTTGGGGCTCGGAGCTCATCCATGAAGCGCCTTGTCGTGCCTCTGATTCTCAAGCCCGTTATGTTGCCCTCCTGGCGTAATGGGCGTCACGGGGGGGGGTGGAAGAGCCCCAGTGACGTAACGTTTTGCGTCTGCGGGGTCTGGGAATGGTCTGGAATGAGTTGACCGTGGTCATTCCTAGACCCCGCCGGTTCTGAGCGTTACGTCCGGTAGGGGAGGGGAGGCGGTGATGACCGCTGCGCCTAAAATTGAAAAACAACTCTTCCCCCTCGTCGCCGCCCCCGGCGGCGGTGCATCGGCAGCGGAGCGTCGCGCCGCCAGGACCCCGGGCAGGCCGGTGCACGCCGCCCCCGGGCCACCTCGCTGCTCCTCCTGCTCACCTGAGGGGCCACGGCCCCTCCGCGCCGCCACCTTCGATTGGCGCGCTCCAGTACCTTCGCGCTGAGCGGGATCTGGCGTTCGTCGTCGTCGTCGTCGTCGTCGTCGTCGTCGTCGTCGTCGTCGTCTCGGCGGCGGTGCCGCGGCGTTGGAGTCGCGCCGCCAGGAACGCCCGGGCAGCGCGTGCTCCCCCGCCGCCCGCGGGGTCCGCGCCGTCGCTTAACCAACCCGCATTACTCCCCTCGAGGGTCGTTGAAGAGGGGGTGAGGTGTGTGTGTGTGAGAGAGAGAGAGAGAGAGAGTGGATCTCGTTTTGCGTGGGCAGTGAAATCTCCCCGGTGACCACGTGGCGCCATCCTTTTTTCCCATTGCGCATTAGCCCCCCCCCATGTGCCCCTCTCTGGCTCCCCTCGGCGGCCGCGGTGCCGCGGCGGCGGAGTCGCGCCGCCAGGAGCAGCCCGGCAGGGCGTGCTCCCCCGCCGCCTGCGTCGCCCAGACGCAGTCCACGTCGTCCCTGACCTCGGCCATGGTGCGGCGCCAGGCGCGTGGGCCGCGGGGGCGCCCCCTTCGGAGGGCTGCTGCGGGGGACTCTCGGCGGCCGTTCTCTAGAGGCCCCTGCCGGTTTGAGGAGGAGGAGGAGGAGGAGGAGGAGGAGGAGGAGGAGGAGGAGGGCAACGATGAGGGAGAAGGGAGCAGGTAGGTGGAGGAGGAGGAGGAGGAGGTGGAGGAGGAAGAGGAGTTGTTCGAACACAGCAGCTGTACGCTTCATCTTCGCTTCACGTAAACAAATAGCCGAGGAGGAGGAGGAGGAGGAGGAGGAGGAGGAGGAGGAGGAGGCCTTCGGGACGGGGAGGGACGGGCGGGGGGGGCACCAGCTTGGGGATGGAGGGGCACCGTCGGCGCAGGCCGCACGTCCAGGCGGCCGCGGGCAACCCCTGGCCGTGCCCAGCGGGAGAGTCAGTCCGGACGGGAAGGCTTCCGCCTCCCCGCCGCGGTTGGGGGGCCCGCTCGGACCGACCCCGTCCGTACCCTTCGCCCTCGCGAGTCCCAACCGCCCTCGACACGGCACCGCTGCCGCTCGCCGCGCCGCCCTGTCTCGCCGCGCACTTACTTGCCCGCACGCCTGCCAGCACTCGCCCGCCGCGGCACCGCAGCCTGCGCGCCACCTCCCTCGGAGCCTCGGGTGAGGGTTGGGAGGGTGGTGGCCCTGCTCCGAGGAGAGGGCGCGCGGAGATGGGCCCTTCCCTCCCCCTCGGGAGGGAGGGGGCCCCAGTGCCTCGGTCGCCCCTTTTTATCACAACGGCGCGCCCCCAGTACTTCGGTTGCCCGCACACGCTTGGACCCCGAGCGTCACCTCCTCTCGCTAGAGTGCAAGCACGTTTGGGCTTAGCTCCTAAGAGTGCGGCCCGGCCACCGCTGTCACCTTACATGCGTACTCGCGCAGGCATCAGCCTCACCTGCATTCGCCTCTTCCTACCCCAGGTGACTTCCATGCGTCGTTCGGTCGCGGGGATGTCCGTCGAGGGCTTCAGCCTTCGTCGACAAACCGAGCATCAGCTCGAAACTCGAAGTAGGAAGACGGACAAGGAGAGAGGAGGAGGAGGAGGAGGAGAAGGAGGAGGAGGAGGAGGAGGAGGAGGAGGAGGAGGAAGTGGGTCCTTCCCAGGAGCTGAGCCGCTTGTTTTGCTTCTTAGGTGCATCGGATATTCTCGTGCGGAGTGCCTTGCGCAGGAAGAGGAGGACAGCGGGGAGGGAGGAGGGGGAGGTTGGAGGATGGAGGGTAAATGAGGAGGAGGTGGAGGAGGAGGCAGAGGAGAATGAGGAGCAGGAGGCGGCTAAAGGACGAGGCTGGAGCAGGAGGAGGAGGATCAAGGAGGAGGAGAGAGGGGTGGGAAGAGGAGGACGAAGGTGGAGGAGGGAGGAGAACGGGGGAGGATGGAGTAGGAAACGAGGGACGGAGGATGGAGGAGGACGAGGACGAGGACGGGGAGGAAGGTGGAGAGAGGATGGACAGATGGTCGGACGAACGCACGAGCAGGAGCAGGCGGAGGAGGAGGAGGAGGAGGAGGAGGAGGAGGAGGAGGAGGAGGAGGAGGAGGAGGAGCAGGAGCAGGAGCAGGCGGAGGAGGAGGAGGAGGAGGAGGAGGAGGAGGAGGAGGAGGAGGAGGAGGAGGAGGAGAGTAACGACGACGACGACCACGACGTGCGACGGCGACGGGGGCGGCGACGGCGGCGGCGGCCGCGGTGGCGGCGTCGGCGGCGGCGACGACGACGACGAGTTCGAGGGTGGCTCCAGCGACGACGAGTTCGAGGGTGACATCGGCAGCGACGGCTCGGTAGCGATGGTTGGCGCCGCCCGCCAGGGCCGCGGGGAGCTGCTCCGCAGGGGCGCGCCGTCCAGTCACGAGCGGTCCGTGAACGTGGCTCGCCGGGTGGGGGGGAGGAGGGGGGCCGAGGGGGGGGCGGCGGGGAGGGAGGGAAGGAGGGAGGGAGGGAGGGAAGGACGGCTGTGTAGTAAGGGTGTCGCTCCGCGACGGGGTGCGCCTCGCTGCGCGACTGCGGATCCTGCGTCGGCGGCGGCCTCGCTCCGCGACTGGTGGGGGGGTCCTCGCTCCGCGGCGGGGGTGCCGCCTCGCTGCGCGGGTGGGCGCGCGCGCGCACGGGCAGGGGCCTCGCGCGGAGGTGGCGAGGCTGCGTCGCATCAGCGACGGTCCCCTTCCGGGAATGGTGGGGGGGTCTCGCTCCGAGACGGGGGCGGCGCGTCGCTGCACAGCCGGGCGCTGGGTCCACGCGCGCGCGGGCGGGGGTCGCGCGGGAGAGCTGCGTCGCTTCAGCGGGCGCCCCGCTCCGCGATAGGTGGCGACCCGATGCAATGGAGGGCGGAGTCCGCTGCTCAATGCGCACGATGGAATTTTTTGACCGTAGCCCTCCTCGCTCAAGCCGTCTGCGGGCATCCCCCGCTTTCGAAGGAGCGCCCGACGCACCGCCGGGCCTCCGCGGCCCCCGCCGCGCCCGCCCGCGGCCCCCCAGACCCTGCTCGATACCGCGCCGCCCGCGCTCGCGGCGCAGCACCTGGCGACGCGCTAGGCCGCGCCTGGCTCCATGGAGGAAGGGTTTTCCGATCGCGATATCGACCGGGTTGGTGGGCGTCAGGGCGGGACTGCGAGCCTAGTGCAGGACCTGGGGGGCCACGCATTGGCTGCAGCCAACTCCCCCCTGGATGTCACCATGCTCCAGATCCCCCCTGGACAGCCCCCGCCCCCAGGCTCAGGGGGGATCCGACCGACCTCAGAATGATCGATCTCACGTCGGATCCCCCGATCGATCCCGCAGACCCTGGTGACAGGAGGAATGACAATTCGGCCGTTAGCCGGGGAGAGGACGGGTCCCGCGGGACAAGCCTCACTTACTCAAGAGAAGAAGCGACCGTTAGCCGCATTCCTGGTAACCCTGGCATCCCTGGTACACAAGACAGCGCCGCCCGCCCTCTCCTCACCTTCGACTCCATCTCCCCCGCCCTTCCGTTCCAACCACAGGGTCCTCCAGCGGCCCTCTCTCCCGGGGGGAACGCGCGCGGCGGCGGCGACGCCACGGGCGCCGGCATTGCGGAGGGCCTTCGCCCCAATCCCGATCTGAGAGCCCAGGGTCAGCATCATGTCTCCGACCCCGCCGCCAGGGCCCCAAGCTCAGGCGGCGCTCAGGGCACCTTACAGGCCAACGTCCACCCACCTTGACGCCCCAGCTCCGGGGTCAGCGGACGGGGGCGCCCTATCTGGGCTCCGCCCAACCCCCCCGAGAGGGGGCCCTGCGGAGCCTCTCCAGCTGGCGCAGGCATGGCTGCCTTCAGCGGCGGCAGGTTCCCTCAGAGTTGCGCCCCCCTCTTCTCTCCCTCAGGTGAGCGAGGCACCATTGCCCTCCGAAGTTCGAGCCCCGATGCCCCAATGGGCACCCCTGGCGGCCAGCAGACTTTGCAAAGAGAAACAGGGCCCGTCTGGCTAGAAGGGAACGGAGTGACGCTCTCATCGGGCGGCGCGGCAGTTCTCTGCGGCGACGGGTCTCCTCGGAGTTGCGCCCCCCTCTCCCCCGCAGGCGACCGATCGCATTCTCGCCCTCCGATGTCCGAGCCCCTATGCCCTACCGGGCGCCCCTGGCGGCCAGCAGACCTCGCGAGAAGAGGCAGGGCTCGCTCGACCAGGAGGGAACGGAGCGACGGTCGCATCTGCCCGTGAGGCAGCCCTCTCGGGCTACATCCCCCCCCCCCCCAGGGCTGCGCCCCCCCCCCCCCCCCCCCCCCCCCCATAGGCGAACAAGGCGCCCTTGCATTCCGATGTCCGAGCGAGCCCCGACGCCCTCGCGGAAGAGAAGCAAGGCCCGCTGGGCCATGCGGGAACGCAGCGGTAGCGTCATCGGGCTCACAAGGAGAGGCAAGGCCCGCTAGGCCAGAAGGGGGCGGGGTTTCGGTCTCATCGGTCCTCCAAGGAGATACGTTGTGATGAGCTCCCGCCCCCTCCCTGGTAGCTCCTCAGAAGGCGGCTCGCAGCGTCGCCCCGCAGCAGCGACCCGCGACCGCCCTGGGGGGGCCGCCGCGGGAAGGCGCGCGCCCTCCCGACAGAGCCTCCGCAGCCATCGGAAGCCCGCGCCCTGGATCGGACAGCAGCGCGGCGGAAGGACAGCCATCCCCGATGGAGGTGGAGGACTCGCCCCCAGCCTCCCCCGACGCGGTCGTCGCTAACAGCCGCGACCCCGCAGGGCCAAACGTCGGCTACGCCGACCCAGCGGAGCCCCCCGGGCAGGTGAACCCCTCCCCGATGAACGTGGAAGGCCCCCCCCCGGGCTACTTCGACGGGGTCGCGATCAGCGGCAGAGACCCTGGCGGGCCCCTGGCGATCCTGACCCAACGAGGACTCCGTCAGCGCAGCCAGCCCATGAAGGACCCCGCACGGAGGAGGCCGGCCCCGGAGCAGCAGGGCTCGCGCAGAGCAGCCCCACTACAGGGGGCTTCGGAGGAACGCCTCGGGGCGCCCAGCCGAGGACCCTCTGCGGGGGGCCAGCGAGGAGCGCAGGCGAAGTCGCCGTCACGGCCTGCCACGGCCGCCCCGCCTCGACCATTGCCGCGGTTGCGCGAGCCGCGGCGCTGTCGCCCGCAGCCGCCGCCGCGGCCGGCGCGGCGGCTGCCGCCGCAGCCGCCGCGGCGGGCCAGACCGCGGCGCCCGCCTGGCTTCGCCATCAGGGCCCCCAATCGCTGCATGATTAGGGCAGGCGGGCTGCCCGCGCCAGGCAGGCGCCCCTGCTCCCGCCGATCAGGACCAGCCGCCCGCGATCCGAGGGCAGTGCGCCGTCGCCTCCCCTAATCCCCCTCCCACTCCCCCCCGCCTCCCGGGCTCCCCGTTCCTTCTCTCGTCTCCTCGGGCCCGCAAGGGGGCGAACCGCGCCCCCCCTCTGTCCTTCGGGGCGTGGCCCTCACTGCGGAGGACCCCCCGGCTTACCCGCAGTCTCCTGACTGGCCCCCCATGGACGACCACTTCGCCGCCGCGGGCGGAGATGAGTCCTCAGACCCCGAACCGGGCGGCGCCGGGCATGGCGCCCGAAGGGTGCAAGACTGCAACGCCCGCGCACGGTGGATGGACGCCACGGGGTGCACCGACACCGGTTGGCGGCAAAGCCGCGAGAGCGACGGCCCGGCCAGCGGCCCACGGGTCGCAGACCACAGATGCACAGGCAGAGGAGGCACCATGGGAGACTTTCTATGGAATTTCCAGTGCACTGAAGGTCCCCGGCGTGAGCTTGCGAGCAGAGGGGCCGAGCGCACCCCCGCGCATAACCGCAACCTCGAGACGCTGGTACATCGCAGTCGGCACCGCCCCGGCCATCCTGGCGCGCACCCAAACCCCCCCCTGCGGACAGCGCCCCCGGACCCAGACGACGGGCTTGCAGCCCCGACCCGCCTAGCAGCCGCAGGCATCTTGGCGCTCATGGGCCTCTCGGGGTCAGTCTGGTCAATCACGGGCGCCGACCGCGTGGGCAGACTAGGAGGAATCCGGCCAGACCCGGTGCAGATACTCGACCTCCGATTCGCAAGCATCACGCATGACCCCTGATCCACGCTAGGAGACTCGACAGCGACAACGCCAGCCCCATGGAGCTGCAACTGGCACGACTCGAATACGAGGCCATGACGGCGGCCGCGCACTACTGTGATCTCGGCATGGCTGCTGCAGACACCCTACTGCCAGACGCCTTCCTCGCTCCCGCCAGAGCTTGCCTTGACCCGGTCCCCAGGGGCATGTTCGGACCAGGCAGGCCCGATGGAACAGTTGACCCCATGGATGGCGAAATTCGGGCCAGAGCATACAGAGTAATAGTGCACGAACACAGAAATAACATCATACACCTCCCCGACCAAAGCGACATGTGGAACTGGTCGGACAACAGAGGAACTTTCAGCTGCTGGGGTGACGACGTGCTCTCTCTCGAGCGCTACGGACACCTCGGACCAGTTCCAGTGCAGCGCCCGCTCTAGAGGGCATCGCCCCCCGAGGGCTGGGCATCCCCGATGTATCCGCGCAGGGCGGAGACCCTCCAACCAGCCCATGGCCCTGGAACACCGCGGCGCATCGCTTGGTATTCGGCGATTTGTTCTGCCCCACCACCCGCTGCGACTTCTGCGGGGCCTGGCAGCTTAGGGGGCCGATGGGGGTGCCTCTGCATCGCCTGCCGACGACTGGCCGTGCCCTGGAGTATCGCGGATAGCGAGCTAGCCTCGGGCACCCACCAGCCACCGAACCACCCGTTGGACGCCCTGGGACAAGACCTTTCTTTTCAACTGGCCAGGGTCGGGGCCAGATACGCCCCGATAGCAGAGCACTTGCACGCGCCCCGAGCGCCGGGCACAGTGGGCCACGCCGCATCCTGGCTCGTCGGCGAGCTGCTCGGCACGTGGAGACACATGGCCACGTGCCCAGACGTCTGGATCAGCGGCCGAGTCCTGTGCAACAGGGGCCGAGGAGAAGCACCCCGGCTCCGCGCGGCAGTGGCAGCGCTAGCGCAGCTACGCGCCGCTCCCACCCAATGGGGTGACAACGCGTGCAGGCGCATACGGAGCCTGACCGAGGCAAGCCCGGCGCGGGTGGAGCTGCGCAGTTGGTCCCCACCGGTGATCGCCAAACCCAGCTGGCATCGTGCCGACGCCTGCGCCCCCCCCATCGGTCTCTCTAACGGGCACCGCACCACCCTCTCTGATGGTGCAGTAGTCGAGTGGGCAGACCTGATGTGGATCGCGACCCAGATCGGGGGCCGCTACTTCGAGCAGGCCATTTTCGATGCACCATCCCACGACAGCGAGCGGAGGAGGGCCGTGCCGTGCCCATGGAAGCGGCGGAGGTGATGCGCGGCGCGCTCCAGGCCGAATTGGGACTGGCAGCGC